AAAAAAAAAAAAAAAAAAAAGGGGGGGTGGGCAGCAGTCTTAGTGTTAAGAAACAGTTCTTAACCGGAAATGTGAAGCCATTAGCCCTAAACGGAAGTGCGTTACGCGTGACGTAGGCTAGTACATCCGGGGTAATCGTACACGAGGAAAAAAACGTTCAAGAACGGAGAAGAAGGAATGTATGAGTTGTTCAGTGACGAAATACAATATTTTGAAGTGCTACACGTTTATTGTGGTGTTATATGGGACCGGGGTAACATTAGCAGCTAATGGAAACTCCAGTTCGACTTCGCACTAAACTCAATAGTGACTGAGTAAGAGTATGACTCTCGAATCTCAAACCAACAACGTTTCCGCATCCCTTTCTGTTCATGTCGTTTAACAAATTGAAGACTGCAAACTAGAATTGAGAAGTCGTTCTCTTACTCGTACTCAAATCTAAAGTCCCCTTTCATCTACGCACCACGGGATTTAAGTTGGGTTGGAAGATTAGTCCCATTTTTGTTGTTTTTGTTTTATATCCAGAATAACCAAGGTGTGGGTAAATGTTATCGATTTCAATGTTGCTTATTCTCAAAAGCCTTTTTACATAGAAAGTTGTTTCTTATCATTATCCTGTGACTTGATTATGAAGTTATTATGAAGTTGATCTAAACGGTCATTCTGATTTGATTTAGCTGATGTCAACGAGTAACTACCATTTTACAGCTTTGCTGTTTGCTGATCTTATTATTAAAACAAAAAGCATTTCACAATTTACAAAGGAGATTGGGACAGATTGAACGGTCTTCGGTTAAGTGCATTTGATTTTCTATGTGAAACTTCGGTCCGGTTTTTGTTTTTTGTTTTGTTTTGTTCTGTTTTTTTTTTTCCTTTTTTTTTTTTTCTTCCAAGTCTTTTTGTTTCTTTGTTTCTTTGTTTTCATTTCGCTGCACGAAACGGGAAAGAAATATAATTACATGCCGGATCTTTTACCGACCCGCGGATCTTTGACTGGTTTGCGGATTTGAATTTCGTTTTCATTTTTCGTACATTGGTTAAATTTGCAAATTGTTGGTGTCTGCTATCGGTTGAAAAAATGCATTAACCATTTCTCAGTTGTCAGTTTAACCCCATCCAGCCCCTCTGGACAAATTTTAATAGAACATGATTTTTTTGTCGATTTTAGCGGATGGCAAAATTATCTAGGAAAAAAATAAATAACACATTTTCAATGGTTTTTCAGGTTCTTAATATTCGTCGACATAAAGACATCTCTCACCTTAAAGACATTACAGAATAAACTAAGCTGCTCGAGGTGTTTTTGTTACAAACGCTGTACTTTAAGGTTAGCATACTGACCTTGGATCGCAACTGCGACAGGTTCAACCCAAACTCCCCAAATTATGGACGTGATCAACAAAATAAGCATGGCAGATATGAAGATTTAAAAATTTCGAAGGCCTATGAAACCACTCGATCGATCGGTCATACTAAAGTTTACTGATTTTGCCACACTTATTTTGCTAATAACATTGCTTGTCGCTGTTAGTTATTAATTATGCAACACGTGAAAAGTGGGCGTACTTGCTTCCATGTAATTACTGCAGAGTCTGAGTCATTCAAATTAAAATATCAAGAACCGTTAATATACTTTTGCTTGTTTTGATATCTTTCTGCCCACTTTATTTCATATGACGAAGAACCTGCAATCAATGTTTGGGCGTTAAATCTGGAAAAATACACATTTTATTTTACTTCATTTGTCATTCTGCTCTGCATATTTTGAATTTTGTTTGTTTTGTTTTTCTTTTTTTTTTTTAATTTTGTTTTACCTTAAAATTTACCTGCTGATCTAGAACACAATAGTCTCAGCTGGAAATTCATAACGAGCCCCTGCTCCTTTGTGTGTAAAAGAATTCCGTCCTTAACATATATATTAGTTCCGATCAGTATGAAAAGTTATTGCTTTGGTTAATCTGGTTAAAAAGAGCGACGACAGTGACGTGACATTAGTAGGGAGCTTAAAGGAGCTCAGTCACTGTTTGCACATTTTGAAAAGTTTAGCCTAAATTTTTCAATTTGTTCCTTTGCAATCCGTGTCAATCTTCGCCATCCTTGACCATCCTTGTTCCTTTATGGTTTATTATTATCTCTTTGATGTTTTTCTATCTTAGTAAACTATTATTTTCAGGTTTCCTTCCATTTAAAGGAGATTTTGTACGTGGCCAAGAAAAACAGGACAAAACACCGTGACTGAGCTCCGTTAAGTGAACCATGGCAACGGCAACGATAACGCTACAAAACAAAAGACTTTGTGTGCAGAAAAATGGCTGAGCCCGTGCTTTATAAATCTTTGTGCATTTCTTAGCCGTCCTTTGCAAAACAACCACGTGAATTGACTAGGTTCTGCGTATTTTAGAGAACGCGTACGACAGCGTCTAATATTTCGTATTTTTATTTGGAACTGAACGCTGGCGTTACATATTTAGCTTCAGCAAGTTTTGAGAATAGGCGCAGTGAACAGATCTAGACAATTGCGAAATTGGAAGATAAAATATAAGTTCATTTTTTTTCTTGGTGTTGTCTTCGGGGTCGCCGTTGTCATTGCTTAAGCTCTCTAATAGCAACACTGGCGAAGAAACGGATTGCATGTGTTTGGCAGCCTCGTATTTTGTTATTTAATTTCTGTTTTCCTTTTTCAGGCAGTTGTTGAAAGCAGCTCTTGTAAGCGACACGTTTCAACTTGAGGATTTACTCTTTCACTAGCAGTTCATTCATCTTCCTTCCCCGAAATATTTCGTCGTTTCATTTGTCTCTCCAAGCCATTTGACACTGCCATGGCAGAACTGAGCAATCGTATTTTTTTTGACGTGACGGCTGACATGCATATGGCCAAGATGGTCGATCCAAGAAGGTACTGTTAGATTGGCTATCCCAGTGGGCATGATGGCGCTATCCCGCAAGGAAGTTAAAACTTTCTCGTCTTCGTTTTTTGAACTGGTTAATAAACTCTTGAAATAATACCTTTCTTCTCAAATATATTAGTTCCCTTACGATAAACAGTTATTGTCCTGTCCAATCAAGTCAAATATATACCAGCAACAACAGCAACATCGGCAAAATGATTGTGACGGTTCCACCTACTTGGCCTTTGGTTCATTTCTGACACTTCGTATGTTTGTACCAATTTACTTTGTAATCTCATTTCGGTTTTCCTTTTGAGGCACCAGTATTGTTGACAGAAGCTCTTGCAAGCAACACGTTCTGACGTGGGGATTTACAGTCAGTGTCAGTGGCTGCTCATTCTCCCTCCCAAAAAATTGGTGCCCCATTAATCACTCCACGTCATTTAATTGACATTGTCGCTGCAGTAGCAATCGTATTTTGACACAGACAATTCCTCGTTCTTCCGGTTTCCTTGAGCAGCATCGTAGATTTATTAATGGTCCCTTCTGTATTCCTTTTGATTAATTTATCATCAATTTACGTCATATTGGGACTTTCGGATAAAATAGTTCACTGCAAGATTTTCTATGGTGAAAATACTTCTTCTTGTTGAGAAAGTTGAAGGCTATGTACAAAACTAAAATTAATAGGGATATGTCTTATTACAAGGTATGCTCAATAAGAACTCTACCTACCACCCCTTCCCCATCCCCACCTTCCACCATGATGGGGGTATGTATGTCGGTTGGATAATTTTGACCTGACTGGGTCATGTAAGCCTGTTGGATCATTTGATCTGTAATTGGGTCAATTTAGCCAGTTTGGTTCATTTGAAAGTAGTTCCCGTAATTGTAAACTTTTTCTACCTTTTTGGAGAGTTTCCAATCAAATAATAAATGTTTAATCTAATTAAGCGTTCCGGATATCTATTGAAAATATGTTAATAATCCAAGACAAACCGGTATAGTTAAAGAAAGCGTTCCATTGTTCGAAAATTAATGAAACCCGTAGGTTCCACAATTCTCGTTGATCACTTGGCCAAATGTTGCGGGCCATATTAACTAAATTATTATTCCAACAACTAAAATAACTCTAATAGGGAACCAAGCTGCTGTTAAAGACACTGTCGTACCAGGCACCAAATTGCAAAACTGAAACAATAGTCGCTTGGTCGCTCATCGTAAAAGATAAATTGAACCAATGACATGTGGTAGAAAATTATTGGTCAGAGTCACAACCCTCTTGAGGACTTCGCGTATCAAATGTGAAAGGTGTGTCATGAACGACTGTATATTTTGGACGCCTGCCGGTTGTATCTGTCTGTTGCTTATCGATAGCTTGGTTCGTAAATCAGTATCGTAAAGGTTGGATTTGCAAAGTTAGATTGTGCAAAGTGCCTATAAAACGACTGAAAAAATAAAATGTCTGAGTCAAACGAAAAAATATGTAAAAATGTTTGTGAACAGTATATTTGGTAGCCAAGGTCGTTATATTTGGGTATATTTAGTAGCCAAGGTCGAAAGACGACACAAACATCCTCCACAGGTAAAGTCCTTTAGTTAAGAAAATGGAGTTTGTAAAGCAAACAGCCAGGAGCTAGGTATAAAAAAATCAAATGCCGTGTAACACAATGTGAGCTAACCTTAGCTTGCAAAAACAAAGTTTACTAAGCAAACATTGTTTGCTCCTAAATGTGGCTCAACACAAGAATATTTACGTGCCATGGCAACCTCTCTGCGAAAACGCTGAAAAGATATGTACTGGATTTGGACAACGAAGATGATACAGACAACAGTGAAAAGAATTCGTTGTGAAGCAGTAAACTTCATCTTCTCTTTCAGTGAATGCAACTTGGATACGACGCTGTCCTAAAATGAAAGAAAAAGGAACAGTCAATTCTATAAAAGATACCGGCTCTCGTTTAAAATAAGATTTTTTTTTTTTATTTCCCACTCATCTATTACAACAGTGTGATATATAATAAATAACATTTTAGAGTAGCAGGACATCCCAGCAAGCTCATACAAGCTTATCCAAGGAGATCCCCCTATTATATAACATAACTCAACAATAACATTTCATAATATATGGTGGCCATATAGATCTGTGTCCACAAAAGAGCAATAATAAAGATAATGAGTTTAAATTTATCTAATAATCAATATTTTGATTAAGCACGAAAGTTTTCAATTTCTTCTTACCGTTGTTCAAAGTTCCTACTGCGCCTAATGACGAGAAACACTTGAATGCGCCCACTTCAACCAGCTAAGCCAATATATCTCCTGAAATAATTGCATTCGACAGAACGCAGTTCTAATCGCGTAATGCATAAAAGTTCGAGATCTGTGTATTTATCTATCTATCGGGGGACACCAATTTACCCCCCCCCCCCCC